ACGCTCTTCGAAACTTTAGACACACGATTATTTCACCGAGATCGCGTTTGAGACAGGGTGTTTTGCGGGAAATTCCCAAAGTTCCTCATTCGACCATAATACAACCAATATTACCCGGTAGCACCGCCGCCACCGCCGACGACGACGTTTCGAGGGCCGTCTCAAGATGGAATTCCACGCGGGAATTCGCGCGTAATATCAGACGAACGGGAGTGGCGATAATTCGACGAAGGCAACAAAATCCTGAAGAATTTCCATAACACGCGTCGCATTCGTACTCTGCACTTCCTTTTTTTTTTTTCACCAAACTCCGTGTCTCGTTTGCGCCTTCTTCGCAGACACGGTGATTTGTCATTAATGCGGAGAATTTTTCGTACGGTGACGCTTTCTCGAAAAATTCACGAAGACGCGTAACGCAGAAACGAGAAGCGTGGGATAGCGTCTTGGACCGAGATATCTGCTTACTCGCGAGAGACATTCGCGATGATCCAGCGTGGACAATCTCGCAACGCCAGTGTGAAGAATGTCTGCCAAGCGACTTGCGAATAAGAATACAAGGGTGAGAAAAATTCAACATTTCCAGAGAGAAAGCGCAAACTTTTTTTTTCAGAAATACGTGACGACATACTGGACAGCGTCAAGAACGACTCTTTTTAGTGTATTTTATTTTTTCGCTCATTTTACATTCATGTAATTTATCACTATGAAACATGAGGTGAGTTATATCTACGAGCAAATAAAAATATATTACATGATATGCAATATAAACGTAAGAAGCATTTTTTTTTCTTAAAAACAATGTCATTCGAAGAACTCACGCGTTCAAATCAACAATTGCTGATAAGATACAGACATCATCCACAAACTATGTAATTAGCACGATAATATATAAATCAGTATTTATAATCAAATAATACTGTTTTGAAATGAAATTAGATTGCGATATTTTTTATACAAATATTAATAAAAATAATTATAAAAATATTCTTTCAATACGTCATTAATCATATTTCTCTGACATTAATATTGATAGCTCATTTGCTTCATCTCTCCATAAACACAGGTATTCTATTTTGAAGGATTAGGAACTTTTTAACTCGACGCGAGACCGATATAAAATTTTCCATAACGAACGGTAGGGACACGCCGTGAGATTCATCCTCGCGATTTAAATATTCTCACGCCGGAACTCGCGAACAACACTCACGGATTTTCGTCGTTATTCACGCTTTTTTTTCTCGCACGTCACGCCGCCGTCGCGGCCGTTGATTTACGACGGAATCGTTCCGTCGATTTATCGTCCGCAAAATCGCGAGCTACTGCCGTCCACGAGAAGGAGCGATAGCGAATGGAAAGCTTATTATGAGATGGCATTCGTCATGCCCGGGCGACATATCCATCCCTCCGTGAACTCCTCCGCGAACGGTCTACCGAGAAAACATAATCCTCCGTCTTATTCCGCAGGAATATCTGAAGGACCGAACGCGCGTCATGCAGCTGTCGCATTCTTAATTTCGCTTACTGACGCACGTGATTGAAGCGATTAAAACCCCCGATACAAAGGTAAGAACAAGACTGCAATATGTACGATCGCGCAATAATTCGTGCAAAACAGCGCAATCTTTGCAAAACAATATTTTATTAAGATTAATTTGACAGAAATAAAGATAAAGCTGAAGATAACAAGAAAATATAAATGTGAAATATACATATGTATATAGCGTTAAATTGAAATTTTTGTTAATCTGCAAAATTATGCAGATTAGAAATGTATAGACGGAAATAATAAATTACGAAGCAATGTAAACACAATTAATAATTATCTATTATTTTACGTTTCTCATAACAAAATAGTTTCGCGTTCTTGTAAGGGCGTGAGCGATCTCGCGAAGCGGCTAATAATTTACATTGCCTCAGCAAAATTGTAATTAAATTCATGCGCGATCGCGGATCGCGCCGTTGCATGATTCGCGAGATTTTACGCCCGCAAACTCGAAAGCCAAACAGCCGCCGAAACATCGCATAAAGCATCACTTTTCCACGCGATAGAGAGAGAGAGAGAGAGAAAGAGGCGCGTTGCCATGTTCCCGCAGCAACAACTTTGCGACGAGCGAATTTGCGGCTATGCGGGTTCGCGTATATTTCAAACTCGCTATCTGCGTTTCCACAAACGTGCCTACCGCATCAAATTCTGCATTTTATTATTTTCCTACGTAAAAGAGAAAGTGCGCATTTTTTTCGTGGTTGCCGAATTGTTTATCGTATACAGAGTTTGAGGATTCGACGAGAGTTCTGCCAACATTTTCAAGTTCATTCTCTCGAGTTGATATTCCGACCCGCAGTATCTTTCAGCAAAACAAAACAAAAAATAACAGCGTGTTTCGCCAACTTTCGCTGCCGAATATAATCACATCCTTTGTATAATTACGATTAATTCTAACGAGAAATTTTAATGCGAGAAATATGTATAGGTCACTTTTTTTATTTTCGAATTTAGCATAATTTAATTTTTATTTTATGTGAATGCCATGTCTTTATTTTGAATAAATATTTAATTAAATGCGCATTAAAAGTGCAAACCATTATTCGAAATAAATAGCTAAAGAATCATTCAAAGCACTACGTCATGAAAACTGACACACAGAGATCCAATTACATTTCAGTTAAATTAACAAGAGCACGCGTCGGAATTATTGAACATTCCGCGTTTGAACGGAGACGCGTGTCATGATGCATTTCAGGCCTCATGCGCGGTTTTCGTGCTTGTACACGCGTAGGGAACAAGTTTGTACGGCAAACAATAAACAGACGTGCATCGACGGGTTTCTCCTTCGCTAATGAGCAACGACGTAAGGAGGACGCGGATGAAGAGGGATTCGGGGTGTTTCGCAAGGAAACGAGGACGATTCGCCGAAACTCGAGCGGAATAAACGGGGACACCCGAGTGAAAATGGTGGAAGGAACGGGGAGAAATCTGTGTCGTGTTTACTGGTGTCTTTAGAATCCGGGCTGTACTTCGTTATCACCGCGCTATCGCGCCGAGTTTACTCGCGTCCCTCTTGATATCCTTCTCCACCAAAGTCGAAACTGAAACCCTGAAGGAGAAAGACGTTCCTACAACATGCCGAGACGCTCACAAGACCTCCTAATGCGAATCGTTCCCTTATCGGATATGATCGCGATTAGCCGCGATTTCAACAAAATTAAAGTTTCTGCAAAAAAATACATCTGCTTTTCTTATGTATAAATAGATAAATATATATATATGTAATGTATAATATAAAAATTAATTTAATATATAGCATAAAATTTAATAAATTACTAATTGACAAGAAAGAGAGAAAGAGAAATTAAAATTTGGTGTTATAATATTTTGTACAAATTATGATAAAAATTAGTAATTAATTTTAATTAAGATAGATCCCTTACACTGTGTTTGTGTTGTAATTTTTAAAATCTTTAAAATATTTGTTTGTATTATCTATATTCAAATTAAACATATTTATCTAAAATCATGCCTGATTCATATCAAATTGCTTCTGACGAGTGAATCAAATCCGCTTCCATAAGGAAAGTTGTGCAATATGAATCCGATGCGGTTGACAATTCCGTTCTTTTATCACACGCGATAGAGCGCAAGCGCGAAGCGTTATCGCACATTTGTTGTATGTACACGATTGTAATGAGCGTCATTAGATAAAAAAAGGCGCTACGAATCGAGGACATATATACGTACTAATGCACAGACAATATATGGACCGATAAATCAAAAAATCGATCGAGAAATTTAAAATGCATGTTAAATGCAATTCCAGAGAAACATTGCAATGAGTATAAATTATGACTGATAAACATGATTAAGGTAAAGCCGCATTAATTCAACTCTCATCTCGTCAGCTTCAAATATCGGAGGGAAAGGAGAGAGAAATTCGAGACGTGAAACACATTAATCCCAGGCATGCTCTCGTTATCGCGTCTATCGGTGACGTGTCGAAAAATATGACGGGAATATGACGGCAGATAAAGAATGCACGCTTGTCCGCACGCTTCTCCTTCATCGAACGCAGATAACATAAATTACGATGCCGTAAATCAATAATTATAAACGATAAACGTTGTGTCCGCTTTGCGACATATCGCTTGTACCAAGACATGAACGATGTTGAAAATTGATGTCGCGACAAACTGTATCAAGAATGATTTTAAGCTAAATAATTTTCTCTCGATAAAAGTCAGTTTCATCGATGCTCTAACGCTTCCATAAATTCTTTGTTTTCTTCGAAATCTCGGCAGTAAAAATATAAAAAAAAAAACCATGATATAATTAATGATTCTCTAGTAAAGTGCATTAATACATAATAACTTGAATTACAAATTTTCTATGATTAAGATTGTTTTCTTTTTTTATATATTATTTGTTGAAAAATCAAGATGAATTTATTTATATTCACCACATAAGGGTTTCTTATCACTGACAAAACTAGTTGCTACTCGCGACCCTAATTCGTTTGGGTTTTCCCGTGGTTTTTCGAGGATCGTTATTCAAAGAAACGCGCATGAGAAAAGAGGACGTCGAACACGAAAGAGGGAGTTTTTAAGTTCGCCGGATGTTGACACAGATAAATGGGTCGATCGTCGGACTGATAAATGACGGACTTGTTCGGCTATTCTATGCAAAAGGATCGTTCATTAGTACGTACGTGTGTCGAAGAAGTTTCGGTGTCGAAGATTTGTGTCAGGGATCACGTCCGAAACAGGTCAGACGCAAAGCGCATGTCATCGAGATTCCAGAAAAAAAACGACAGAAAAAACAGACATCTCGTTTTCTTAACATGTTATATGATATATTATATATAATTGGGAACTATTCACTCGAAATAATTTGCATCATGTTATGTGTGTGCGTACGATAGATTTTACTGTTTAAAACTTATTTAATTTAGTAGTATTGATTAAATAAAAATTTACAATTCTGAATTTTTCAAGGATTACCAATTAAATTTACTTTAGAATAATTCCAGTTATATAATATCCAATTATATATAAACTCTATTTATCGATTGTATTGTATATTATAATTGATATCATAATCTAAACTAATTAAAAGCAAATAAAGTGTGTTACTAACAATAAGTTAGCAGACTGAAATTTTTACAGTTATATAAATGGCTCTAAACATAAACATCGAGCGGTATAGATAAGACTTTTTACGATACTCCGGTATAACGGTGGATAATTAAGCACATTGTATAACCATATATTGAGGGTTATCTTTTATCACCACGCTATTCTAACATAAAAAAATTAAAATATTCCAGTTACGTAATATATTACTAAACGTTAAAACAATGTATTTAAATTTATTTTATTTATATCTTACGATATCAAAACAGATATACGCAATTTAAAGTACAACAATACTTTGAAATAAAATCATTTTATAATCGAAGTAATTTTTAATATGTATCTAAAAGATCCTTTTTAATTATGTTTCCTAAATTTAAATACCAAAATATGAAAGAACAAATTTTCTAAAGTTACATAAAAAATTAAATGGTGTGTTGCCAAAAAAATTAATTTTATAAATTAATTTATTTAAAACGTGAGAGAGAGAGAATACACGAGCATGATAAAAGGTATGATAAGATTACACGATGATGAAAGGTACGATAAGTGTACGATGTAAGCAAACTCGCCTTTTTTCCAATCTCTTCCTCCTCGTATTTCCGATTCGTGGTGTTATTTTTCCTTCGCATTTACCTTCATTCACCGGGTCGAAGGAAGTGTTGCGCTTTGACGGTAGGAAAGACGGGAAACAAAGCTGAGATAGAGGAAGGAAGAGCGAGCGGCCGTGAAGAGCCGGCGGAAGGAAAGCAGAGGGAAGGAGAGAGCGGGAAGGGGCGAAGAATGGACTTCCGGTCCAGATGAGATGAAAGCCTCTCGTCTCGAGCACCTGACCTGGACTAACTCGTCGTAAAGGGTCACGAACAGGAAATAATGGTCTATGGGGAATGTGCAAAGAGTAAGGTGGAGAATAAGAGAACTGCGAGGAGAAGGATGGATGGTGAGATAAAGAGAGAGAGAGAGGAGCGAACGTGCGACAAGGAGGAAGCGATGGAAAGAGAAGAAACGGAAGAAAAGAAATTCGTACTCACGGGTCATTGGTCTTGGGCAGGAGGGTGCCGAGCTCCTTGATCCTGTCGTTGATGTTGAAGCGCCGCCGTCGCTCGACTGAAAACGGAAATTGTGCACATCAATCATGGCTCGCTCGCGACAGATGCGATAGATAGATCGCGTCGTTTGTTAATTCGCCCGCTAATCGCACGACCGAATCGACGCGCGAGAACGGTTCGTCCTCCAACCTTTTTTTTTTTCGCGTCCCCAGACTTGTCTGTCTCGACTTTAAAAAGAGCTTTCTTCCTTCTTATAGTTATCAAAGAACCAACTTTATGTGGTTACTAAAGAAATAGAAATAGATACAAAAAAAATTCCATCAGATTTAAATTAAAAATGTTAATCAAAAATCGACAATTTTTATGGTTAAAAATCAGAGTCATGTGTGTATATTTTTTTATAATATTGCTATAAAACTATTTTTAATAGATACGTCAAATATATTTGAGGATCTTTTCGTGCAATCTCCCCGTAAAAACACAAATGGATCTGGATTCTTGTATTATCTTTGAAATAATAAGATTTTTTACGTGGTATGATCACTATTTCTCCCCTTTTTCGATTATATTTCTGAGAGAGAAAAAAGACAAAAAAAAATATATATATATTTATCTATATTTCCTTAGACGCTCAATCATCTACATTCAGCTATGCTCGCGGACTATTATTTTTCTTGAGGTTACAATCTTACCACTTGACGCGATTGGGAGCAAACGTGATATCCCTCGATCGCTCGATCCCAATAAACTATATCGACATCGTCTTGAACGCGCGCGCAAATTGTGAAGGGTCAAACCGTCTCCCGTATCGTCGTCTCGTATCGAAGTTATTGGGCAGGAAAGCATATCGCGCTTTCCGGAGGATATAGCGTATCTCCCCTGCGGAAAAGACTGCGAACCAAATCACCCTATCGTTGGCACATGACTCCCGCACCCGATCGATTATTCCGGCCAGGTATCTCTTCAACGAAGAGGTCAAGCTTGATTCCCTATCCTTCGCGCGCGTCTCCGATATCGCGATCGCGTCGATGATGACCCACCGTCGGAAAAATAAATTCGTCAAAATGCGTGTTCCGGACGGAGACAGCACTCCATTACTCGTCATCATGAATAATGGAAAAGGAATATTGTGTCGACATTCATCGATAAAGATAAAAGATACAGAGCAAGTGATTAATTCTTCTTCCACTCTTTTAGTCTGTTTTCAGATACGTCGATAACATCGTCTCTATATCAGTATTAATCGACTTTAGACGCGATAAGAATCGCAAACTGAATGCAGAAGTTAATGGCAGAGGATACAAGACAAAATATTTTGTTTTTAATAAATCATGAAACTTGATAAAATAATTCAACTTCTTCAACAATACATATTAAATAAACAAAGAATTTAATTCTCAGGAAAAGTATAAACTTATAACATTTATCTTTCTCATTTCTTTATCCAGAATAAAATATATTCTTTAGAAATAATAACCAAAAAATTGAAATAATGTAATAGAAATAGAAAATTATGTTTAAAAATCTGATACCGTCGAAATCAAATTTCGATTTTTAAAACGAGAAAGACGAAAAAGAGACTACATTAAAAGACTTTCCTACAAAATAAAATTTTCAAGAGAGAATACTCTGATTTCATAGAAATCAAATGTAGTCGAGGCAAAATCGGTTCCAAATAAGATCTACGTCACTTCTGAAAAACTTCAAAGTGCATCGCATGTCTACGTCATGCCAAACAAAATTCTGAGAATTGCTGATTCATATTGTAGAGACAAATATTTGTAAACAGCGCGATAGAACGGCTATATAAAGGTTATAAAAGATGAGATACGATCGAGGAGATGTCGCACGCGCGAGGAGACGAAGGAGCAGCCTTGAAAACTTTAAGGAAGCTGTAACTTCCTCTCTTGAACTCGATTCGCTCCGGGAGAGAAAGAGAGAGATAGAAATGAGGAGGACAACACGAGAAGAGAAGAGAACGACGAAGAGAGGGATGGACATAGACGGGAAGAGCGAGAGGGAACTTCCTCTGATCTCACTGATTAGATTACGATGGTTAATTTAGAGTAGGGTGAGGCACAGGCTGGAAAGTCGATGAAGATGGGAGAGGACAAACGACGGAGATCGAAGCTACTCGATTCTGTCGAGAAGATGCGCGAACCTATGCTTTTCGCTTGGAATCAAGAGGCACGCCTTCCTAATCGACGACGATGAGTCTCATCAATCAGCAAACCCCAGTTTCCGGTGGGAAGAAATTATCCGAGATACGAGCAAAGATTAGGGAGAAGCGTTTCATCGACCTGGCTTCGAGTTTCTAACGAAAGAGAATGCGAAATTGCCCTTTAACTCCAGATCGCAATAAATTCGTTGTGTCCGAAGGAATAATTTGCTTTCTATGTTGCAAATCAGGAAATTCCGAATGATTTTATATGTATCTTAGTTTTTATATATGCCTATTAAATTTACATAAAATATGTCCTGTAGAATTCTCAATCTATTGAATCAATCTCTAATTCAGGAAAAATTTTATCATATTTATTTAATGCGGAAAAAGATTTGCGTACTTTGCGAATGTAAAGCATAAAATGAAGACAAAACCGTTTGATCACATTTCCTGAGTGAAGCAAATTAGGAAAAGAGACGCAATTAACAGGATTAAACAAATTAGGAAAAAGGAAGATACGTTCGCAAATGGACTCACGTTGCATGCAAATCGATAAAGCGCGTAAAAAAGACAAGTCAAAGTCTCGCCGATAAGCTTCTCTTTCATCCCTCGCACGTAGAACACCGTGCAATCGATAATGTACCAGGCGGAGATGCACAATAGTAGTTAATAAGTGGCGAGACAAAGAAAGAGCGAATCAGGGAGGCGCGACTATTTTTACAGAATTCCTACTTCATTTCCTATATTTCCGCGTAATTCACGGCCGTTATTTCGCCATTCTCTTTTACAAATTCGATTCCGCCTCTTTCGTATCCACCGGCCTTTCATTATGCCCGCGATTGTTTTCGGAAAATTGGATGCTTCAATTCTTTCCAATGCAGTCCGTGCTACCGTCACCGATTTCCGCTTGTTTCATTCGCGAGCATCGTGCATTTTTTGCAATTTTAGCGATGCTTTAATCACGAGAATCAACGGCGAAATAAAGTCGCGGAAGGAACGGCGCATTACATCTCATGAGAAAACCGCATAAGGTAGATTAAAAGAGATATGTAAAAAAAAAAAAATCAAATGATTCAAGTTTCTGATTAAATAAAATTCTATTATATTAATTATATAAATAATATTATTTTGTCATCATTATATATTATGTCATACGAATACATTTCTGACTCAAATTTCTAAACTATTTAAGGACAAGACACGAAAATTCAATTAACTGTACGATACGCGTTAAATTTGCCTTTATTTTCAAAATTACATTTACAAATATCAGAATGTAAAACGTATTTCAAATATGTGCACATGTTCGCGCGCGGAAATTCATAAAAATTCACGCATATGTAGTGAAGTTTTATTGCACTGCAATGGAAAGCGCGAGGCGAGATAATTGAAGCTCACTGATTACTTGGTCAAATTCACGGGATTGTCGCGAATCACACGAACACAAATGCGCGATTCAACGCGTAACACATACTGCATAGTAAAAATATAAAAAACCGGCACCCAACAAAAACGTCGCATTGTTCGAATATTGCCGTTCGAAAATTGTTTATTGTCTTCTTACACTCCATGTGGAGATTAATTCATTTCTCATCTTAATGAGAATTCTTCGCAGCAGCGTGTCTATCGATTTTCAACGTTCAGCGATAGAAACCGATGGTAATGTTTTTGCATCACACACAAGTGCACTTGTGCATTTATTAAATAAGAGAAATTATTTTACAAATGTATATAGATGCATTTGTAATTTAATATTCTCTTCAAAGACATGCATGTATAATGCATATATAATGTGAGATAAGAAAATTTTGAATCATTAAACTTAGAAAAAACTAAAAGATTGTGTGAAATGATGAGAAAAGAAATATAAAGACGTTATTATTAAAATAAAATCCTGACAATACTATGCTCGAAATATTATTTCATTTGTCAAGAATAATCTAAAAATACTAAAAATTTCCATTAAATTTTCGTTACACCATGAATGTGCGAGGTTATATTTGATTCGCCGGCGTTGTTTGCGTTAACAGATAACCGACAGACGCTAGTTTAATTGAGTGCATTCGCGATAACAATAAACGACCGATGTATGGGGACACGCGGCGACATTTTTCCATTATCATTTAAATAGTCCGTTTACGTCGCGGGCACCGTGTTGACATAAGTATAATGCAGTAAACGTCGGTAATAATGACGACGCCAAGGAACCGCCGATTGCTACCATTGAGGTGTAAATTACACGGTGGCGCTTATCAATTATTTCTACACGGATAAACAAAATTTGCCTACAACTTGCTGATCGAGCGATATTCAAAGCGGCTGTACCAAGAAACAAGATTAAAATGTCAGGCTTATTACGAAAGCCACGTGCCGCTGAGACACAAAATAGAATTCCAGCACGTAATTTCGAATCCGCCACATGACGTAATCTGTAGTCGTGAACGTGAATAAATTCTCTTCGACGTAAAAGATAAACACCGGACGACAATCTTTTGCAGAGACATATGATACAGTTGCTTTAACAAAACTAGATAAGCTATATGAAAACTTTTAATTCATTGCTTGGATATTTTATTAATGTATAAAATTTCCCGTACAAGATACTTAATTTCATGGAATGATATTTATTATCATCTATAATTAAATCAGATTAAATTTAATAAATGTCAGAATGCGCGCACGACTACAGATATGTCATCGTAAAAATTTAATCAGAAAGAGTCAATTATCAACTTACTCATATTGTGATTGTCCTTCTTCTGCCGATCTTTGGCAAGGGCGTGGATTTCCGCTTCCGTAAGCAAGAGAGGTTCTGGCTTAATTTGAAGCTCCGGTATATTCGTGAGACTTCCGGCTTGGCCGTCCTTCAATCCATCACCCAAGGAGCCAGCCTCGAACGACAGTATGTCGTCCAGGAGGTCCTCAGCCTGCAATCACATAAAAAAAGCATATCATGATAGATAGCATTAACTTGCATGAAATTTCGCTGTAAAAGAGAGTTTACGCATTGTGTAAATCTTATAATTTTTTTAAGAATTAAGGAAAAAGATACATATAACGTCTCGTTTCTTCACTTAAGTTGTGGCATGAACGTCGGAGCGTTCATAATAAGACACTACGTATTGTCACATAAAATATGTAAATTAATGTATGAAATATCAAATTCTACTAGATTTCAACGACTACCGTTGATAGAAAAAAAAAAAATTACATTATGCAATCTATGCAAAACGACGCGCTTTTTACAAGCGTTCGGTGATAAAGCGTACTCGTCGTCACCTTCGTGCGACAACATTACCAGGACTCGCTCGGTGGTTAATGCAATTTTTCCCTGAGACGGGAATTTCACGATCGACGCAAATGATCGTTCTTCTCCGAAGACGAGGAAGGAAGAGCGACACCGAAGGAGGAAGAAATTCACAAAAGGCGCAAGGAAACTCGGAACGAAAAGTGTGCGCGTCGTTAATAATTCTTGAGAGCGCGATCGACGCCGTTTGCTAAATCACCCTTTCAAGCCCTAAAGACTCGTTGTCTTCGGCGCGTAAAGCTCTCCGCGCGATATATCGACCGTATAATGTTATTCACGGGCTCTCCGATAAAATGATTCACGCGTCGACATGGCTGTCGTCTCCGTCGCGAAATCGGACTCGTTCCCCTTCTCGCTCTCTCTTTTTTTTCTCTCTCTCTCTCTCTCTCTCTCCCCACCGAGAGTATTTATTCACCGTTTCTTTCTTCCACGTCCATTCCATTCCGCAATAATATTTCGTCTTAGAAACGTCGATAAGCCATCGTTCGCTGTCGGACATGATACGGATTTAAGTGCCAAATACTGTTCGGTCGCTCGATGAAACGAAAGAGAACGTAATTCATAGCGATAAATCCTGATCGATACTAGTGGAAACAACGGCAGCTCTTTTCACGCCATTATCTGAGAAACGTATCTCGTTATAAATTAAAGATTACGCAGCGTTATACTGATTTGTGCGATAAGAACAAAGTGCGAGATGTGTGAGAAAAGATAAAGATCGAATGAATGCAGGATGTATTTCCTGACGATGATTGATAATATTAATCTAATTTTCAATTTTTCCTAGCTAGTTAAATAATAAATTATAAAAAGAATTTAATTTTCTTTATCTCTCTTAAATTATACGTAAATAGAATTTTAAAAATATTTAAATATATGCTTCCACAAAATATATCAAAAGAGTCATTATTATTTAGAATTTTTATACAAATTGATAAAAGAGATGCTTTTAATAAAATATTACGATTTTCTAGACTCCGAATGGCTTTATCATTAATCATAGCAGGGAGTAAATATTTCCCAAAGAACATTATCTCCGAAACTGTGAAAAAACTCAGAGTCGCGATTATCTCACGCGTCGTTACAGTTCTGCGAGATACGAGTCTCGGAACGAATGCATCGCCGATGCAAGTGCATCGTGACTGTCGATGTACATACAGCGTATATATGTGTGATGTTACGTAAACATTACGTAAACAATAATAAGCGAGCTCTGTGTGTGCCGACCTGTGGAATAACGTTTCGACGCCGACTGCTGCCGCCGACCGACAAGAGATGAATCGAGTTACATGTACCTCTCGTTTCGCCGGACGCGCTTTGACGCGAGCGAATCGACAAAAGCCATGCGCCATGGCTGCGAGCGAGAAACACAATAATTGTATAATAGCTCAGATGTACTGGAGCAGATGTACTGGGTATTCTAAAAGTTGCGCATCTTTTCCACGCGATTAAAAGACGTTCAAACTCTAACTAATCGTAAGACAATTCGCCGAAAGGCATCAATCAATTTACAAATAATTAAAAATTAGTATCAAATTAGAACCGCCATCAATATCAAATAGAATTTTAATTAATAACATTTCAATTAGTTACAAAATATATTAAGATATACATTTAATGTGATTAGAAATTAAGGCATAATTATATATGAAGAAAACAGCAGTGTATAGTAAAACATCAGCTAAATAAAAATCGACAGAAGATGAAATCAAATTATATTAAGTCATTAAAAATTATACTATCAATTTTGCTGACCTACTCAAATTAAATCGTTATGACGATAATAACGAGACAAGTAGAAGGAATGCGCAGGCTGAGAAAGAAGTAATTTCGAAACACGATGGCAAAGATGAATGGTGCGAGCGCGAAGATGAGAAGCGAGTAGATAGATGACAGAGACAACATTGATCGCCGCTGTGGTCAATGAAACTGATGCGCGTCGAAAGCGAAGGCGTGATCGGTGAAGGGGCTATAATGTATAGTGTATACGATACGCGCGATCAAAGTGAATTGCCCCTGCAATACGAGCGCCCAGATAATAATATACGCTTGCGATTTAACGTTTAACTCTAAAGCGGTATTTTTACCACGAGACCCTTTTAACGTAAATACGTACGCGAGATAATTAAAATTATTTTTTCATTGAAAGATTAATTAATAAAAAAAAATACTTCAACACAGGAAGAATTTTATTATCTTTAATGTGCGCGTGAAATATATATATTCTCTCTTTAAAGTCTTCCATACCTCTGTTACACAGATTTTTTTTTTTTTTTTTTTTTTTTTTTTTTTGGTTGCGCGTATTAAAATTTAGGAAACGCGTATTAAAGTTTTATTATTCCATATTGCATTCTGTATAATCCTTGCGAATAGCGTCCAGCAAAATGCAGTCGAAAATTCGGCATAGAGATGATCTGTAATAGTGACCTGGCCAGTTGATATTAACCGATGATAGTCACAAGCCGGCTGCATCGGGCGGCGTTTTATTTCGAGGTTCCTATGTCAATTTCGTGAATTATGCAGCAACGCGTGCGCGATTCTCATAAACGCAATTGGCGAAGGCCCGCTGGCTCGTTAAGCACGAAAAAAAAAAAAAAAAAAAAAAAGCGCTACACCTCGTTAAACGTCACCCGGTCGTTAATGGACAGCCGTTTCGCCGCTCTCGCACACCGTATATATACCGCTGTACGTAACGTAAATGAATCGTCTTTAAAGAACCACGTTACGACCGAAACAGCCCTGGTCGTAGAAATGCGAATGGCTCCGTTTTCGATTATCGAACGCGCGACGTCGAACAGAGAGTTCGTTAATTAGGTACGTTAAAATACGAGGTGCGATAAAAAAAGGTGATCGATTTCTCTGCTATATCAGCAAGAGACATTTTTCACATATCACTTTTTGTCTTGTAATGTTATAGATCTATAATGGTATCTGCAATATTTTTTCGATGGTTCTTAATTAATGTGTACCATTTTTTAATAAATTATCGCACATCTTTAATGAAAATGTTATAACAATTATGTAAAGTTTTCGCTAAACTTGTTTAAGAAAGGAAAGTTTTTTAAACTTGGATGTATTTCTCCTGGTATCGCGTCAAAATTTTCGTTCAATTGTGAATCCGTACATCACTATATTGCTATGAAAGAAGAATAATTATACTATTTAACCGCGATAATATCGATTAAATAGTACAACCACGCCCGCGAATTAGAATTATCAACGAATCATTCAGCGACGAGCGAAGCGAATTGCAGCGACAGGAAGCAATTGCGTCTGCGATTGCATAACGAACGAAGATTATAATTGCATACAATTAAGTACCGCAAGCATGCGAGATAATGTTAGAATGGCTTTAATTAATTCCGGTCGCGTAAGATGTCCGATCGTACATACGGCAAGAAATTACGACGAGATGCAGTCCTTGTTCCGTTATATTCATCTCATATGTGTATCTGCATCCATAGTACTTATCCGGCTTTGAGATAGAGAAAAGGATTAGCGAAATTAGAATGACGTTAACATAATCATAAATTATGTTAAGGAGGAGAGAAGGGGTGTATACTTGGATTATGAACTTGTTAACATATTTAAATAATAAAAACTAATTATAGATAATAATGAAAACCGTATATGTAGCATATACGGTGAAATAAATCATGTTTTTTTAAACTCACTCGTGTTTATCGCAGATGTTTGATCGAACGTATAGCAACCAATCTCTATGAGCAGAAAGATAAAAGCGCCCATTTTTCCTTGCCCACCGCATTTCATAAAATGTGTACTCCCATCTATGTAAATGAAAACACTTTTTATATGCATGTTGTACGTTACATACGTGTAATGGCGGTGTTATGCAAATTCGTATACGCGGCACGTTCGGTAACCATTATTCATACCCCTCCACGCTTCAGAAAACGAGTTTATGGTTCGTCAAGGCGCCCGTATTCAATAGAATTCCGCATTAACGAACGTCTTATAAGTTAGCGGAACAGAATGAGCAGAATCAATTCTAATTAATATTTTTATTTGTTGCTCATTTGTTGCTAAAAAGTTGCAAAAGAAAAAAATTTGTTGCTCTGTAAGTTTTTAAAAAAAATGATGTGTTCCGCTAACTTATAAGACGTCATTAACGACTTCGTCGGAAAAATTCGTATCAATATGGACGCGCTGCATCGTGTGTGATGTAAAGAATTAATATCGCGTTAAGTAATAGCTTGGACACCTGCTGCATTAATGTCATCCATGTCATTAATGTCATACGATATTAAAAATAAAACTTTTCTTGTCACATTCAATGATGCTCACCGTTATCATTGGAAAATACATTTACATAAGTCAAGAGATATTTCTCCAGTTGTATTTCTTTGATAATTTAAACTCCATCTTTTCGTAAATGAAAATTTGATCACTGTAATCGCATTGTTAATTCTTAACATTTTAAAATTTGGAAAATTTTCATTTTAATGTATCGAGGCATGTAATACGTCGCGTTGAGTGTAATTACGTCAGTCTGAAACGGATTTCATAACAGATTTGTGCAACAGTGCGTCCGTATAATTATATACGTGTTTATTTTACATTAATATCTATCTCGATAATAACAATACATGTCGCCCGCAG